TTATCACATTAAAAATATTATTCTTATGGTTTCTACTGTGTGTGTGTGTGTGTTTTTTGACACAGGGTCTCACCATGTTGCCCAGGCTGGCCTCAAAATCTTCCTGCCTCAGCCACCCAAATGGCTTGGATTACAGAGGCACACTACCCTACCCAGTTTATACTAATATGATTTTCAAGAAATCTGTTTGTTTTAATTTTTCTTGAAAATCCATTTTTTTCCATCACCATTTTCTATTGATATTTGAGTAGATCTATGTTTACTCTGATTTGAATATTATATAATGCACACATGTATTGAAACAGCACATTTAAATATTTGTGATTTTCCTGTGTCAGTTTTTTAAAAATACACCACAGAACTTTCTGTTCTTATTGAGACCTACAGATTTTCTTGAATAAGCACTACCTAGAAAGTGACAAGATTTGATTAGTTCCAGGGTTGCGTAGAGAAATTTTAAATAGTTTGATATGCACCAAATGGTCTCAATAATATGTTTTACAGTTTTATAGTTTTCATGTAAATACTTTTATTTAATCTTTATTCTTTTTAAAAATAAGGATTCCAGGGCTTAGATTATAAATGAATACTACGAAAAATTTTATGACAACAAAATTATACATAATAGATGAAAACATATCTATTCCTAGAAACGGACCAGAAATGACTCAAGAACAAAGGAAAAAAAAGTCTAAATAGACGTATAATAAGTGAAATCATTGAGTTGGTAATCAAATATGCTACAAAAAAAAGCCCAAGATGAGATGGCTTATTTTGTGAATTCTACTATATGTTTCAGGTTAACACTGATTCTTCATAAACTGTTTCAAAAACAAGAAAGTAATACTTCCTTGCCCATTTTATAAGGCCTATTTTACCCTGATGCCAAATTCAGTTATAGATATTACAAAAAATAACACAGAATAACGCTTATGAACAAATGCAAAAATCCTCTACAAAATAAGAACAAAATTCAGCAACAGATGAAAAAGGATGTATATTATGATGTATAATGGGGTTTATAATAGGAATACAATATTAGTTCAAAATATAAAAATCAAATAATAAAATATACCATTTTATTCAAATTTTTAAAAATCATAATCTTCTTAATAGGTATAAAAATGTGACCAAATGCAACACATTTTCATGATAAAAACAATAAACTATAAATACTCAACAAACTAGGAATAGACAGGTACTTCCTCAAGTGGATAACGGGCATCTACAAACAACCCATAGCTAACAACATACTAATGGCAAAAAACTGAATGCTACCACCTTAAGATAAGCCATAAGGATTTCTGTTCTTATCACTTGGACTTGTGCTAGAGATTTAGCCAGGAAAATTAGAAAAAGAAAAGAAATGTCTTCACACCAGAGAGGAAGTAAACTTATATATGTTTGCATATGACATATAAATAAAATAATGATGAATTTACAAAACAAAGACAAACTATTAAAATTAATAAATTCAGCAAAGTTACAGGATAATGTACAAATATCAATTTTATACACTAACAGTGAGCAAACTGAAAGTGAAATTTAATTTACAAAAGAAAAAGAAAGATTAAAATACTAGGAATAAATTTAATATAAAAGTGTAAGAGTTGGACACTGAAAAATATAAAATTTGAAAAAAATTAAAAATTAAAGAAGACTGACATAAATGTAAAGATATTATACTATATTCATAGTTGGAAGAAATATTGTCAAGATAGAAATGTTTTTCAGACTGATATTCAAATTCAAGGCAATCCCTACTAAACCCCAACTGCTTTTTTACAAAAATTCACAAACTGAACCCCAAATTACATTGAATTGTGTCCAAAAATTCTTGCATAAGAAAAGTAAACTGTATGAGTTATGTCCAAATTTCAAAGCTTATTATACAGTTATAGTTGCCATGAATGTGTAGTTCTGACATATAGACCAGTGGAATAGAAGTCAGTCTTGAAATCAACCTGTACATTTCTGGTCAACAGTTTTTTTTTTTTTTTATCAAGATTGCCAACACAATTCAATAAAGAAAGAATTATGTTTTTAACAAATTGTGAAGGGACAGCTGGTTATCCACATGTCAAAGAATGTATCTGGAGCATCATATTATACACAAAATTAACTTAAAATGAACCACAGACCTAAATATAAAAGATGAAACTATAAAATTCTGAAGAAAATACAAATATTCATGAACTTGGGTTAGGCAACAGATTCTAGATAGACATTTAAAGCACAAGCAATCAAAGAAAAAAACAAATTAGATTTCAACAAATTCTAATGTTCTGTGTATCAAACTTTACAAGAAAGTAAAAGATATAACTTAGAGAATGGGAGTAAATATTTGCAAACAGTATATCTGGAAAGGGTCCAGTATCAAAATATACAAAGAACTCTTACAAGCTGTCAATAAAATGGCAACCTGAATTGAAAAATAGGCCAAGTATATAAATAGACATCTGTTTAAAGATTTTATACAAATGTCCAATAAGCACTAAAAAGATGCTTGAAACAATTAGAGAAATGCAAATCAAAACCATAATGAGATACCATTTCAACCCACAAGGACAGCTGTAAACTAAAAGCAAATTACAGATGTTGATGAGGATATAGAGGAACCAGAACTCCTCTCATATATTGCTGAGTGCAAAATGGTATAGTTCCTTTAGAAAACAGTCTGGTAATTCCTTCAAAGGTTAAAACTAAACTTTCCACGAAATGCAAAAAATCCTACTCCTAGGGATATACCAAAGAGAAATGAAAATATACATCCACAGAAAAACCTTCTACATGAATGTTTGTAGTGGCATTATTCTGAATAGTCAAAAAGTGGAAATAATCTAATAACCATCAATAGATTCATAGATAAACAGAGATGCATATATACAACAGAATATCATTCAGCCATAAAAAGGAATGAAATGCAGGCTACAGAATGAATGAACCTTGAAACCTAGCACTTAGTGAAAGAATTCAGTCAAAAAGAATAGATATTACATAATTCTCTTTATAAAAAATAGATATTATATAATTCTCTTTATAAAAAATATCTAGAATATGCAACTACCATGTATGTATGGTACCTACAAGAAATTAAATTAGAATTGTTGCCAAGAATGAAAACAGTGTATTTCTTATACACTTTTAAGTTAAATCCTTAGTGTACTCTTTTGCCTTTTTTCTCCTTCAACCTCTCAATAAAAGAAATTCCTATTCCAAAGAGAACAAGGAAAATTGCTTTTGTGAAAATTCTGATCTGACAATCTCAGAACTTATTTTTACTAGTCATGTTATACTATATTATTTAAGAAAAATTGAAGTATTTAAAAGTTTTTGATGTACTGTCATATGTTGCTCAACAATAGAGATATATTCTGAAAACACATTGTTAGGTGATTTTGTCATTGTGTGAATATCACAATGTGTACTTACACAAACAACTAAGATGGTTATAATATCACTAGGAAATATAATTTTGGGGGACTACTGTTATAGATGTTTTTTGTCATTGACCAAAATGTTATGTTATGCATGACTATAATGAAGTGGAGAAGTTAGGTTTGTTTTTCTTTCCTGGAATGGTCTGTTGAGTTTTGTTCCATCCTACTCTCACTGGAAATGACTTTTCATTAATCATGACATGATGGTCTGTGTCGTATTCTCAACTGTACATTAAAGACTAACTGGGCTTAAAAATTGTTTTTATTTCTTTTTTTAAACAATACTTTCATGTCACTAAGCTATTTACACACACACACACACACAAACTTAGAAATACATATTTTTTCTACCATGGTGAGATAGGAAACAAAATATCATTTAACTAGGGAAGGAAGTAAGAAGGAAGGGTAGGAGAAAAAAAGAAGAAAGGAAGCAAAAGAAATGAAGAAAAATAAACTAAAGAGAGAAAGAAAAAAGAAAGAAAAAAATCACCAGGTAAAATAAATATAGGTTCATCAAATCATTTTGGGAACTCTGTTTCCCAACACCATGTTTGTAGTACCAGTGACTGTCTCTAAATTTTTAACACAGAGCTCATTTATATCTGATGTCCCACTTGAGAATTTCCAAGGGCCAAACCTGTGAAGTCCTCAAACTTTCAGTGTAATTTTAGAATACAGGTAAAGTGTGGGTATAAGGCTACCCCGGAAATGAAGTCACCATGTAATTCTAATTAGTACTTCTAGTATAACAGTAGTCATTTATAATTAAAAAATGTGTAAGTATTGTTTGAATCAAAGCACTAGATATTAGAAAATTTAACTAGAATTTTAAATTATGTGATTGTTATTTAAAATTACTTTTTAATATGATGATATTTTCTGTGTAAAATAACAAATTTCTAACAAATCATTTCACATATAAGTAAGTATCTTTAAGAATGTAGAACCAAGAAACAGTCTTTTCTTTTTTACTTGCATAAAGGGTAATTTATGATAATTAGGATAAAGGTGTAATGTGCCTAAAAATTAAGCCGAAAAAAATTTCACCTGAGTAAAAGAAACACAGACAGGTTATTGGACACATTAAGATATATAATTACATTAAAACCTTCACATTTTATACTAGTATTTGCAAGAGTGACTGAAGAATATCCTAGTTTAATAATCTAATTTATAATCATAAATCAAAATTTTAGGCATGAGTAAAAGGGTAAGCTAAATGCATTTATGAATACTGCTTTTCAAAACTAAGTAATAACATAATAGAAAATATTTTAAAAAGTTTAAAAGAAGGAAAAAGAACCTAAGCAGGAAAGAAATGCTAGTTAAGAGACTTAGTGATTTGGAGTTCCCTCCCTCTTGTAGTTAATCCCTTAATATGGACCTTACTAAAGAGGTCTAGTAATTATACTATAAATATAATAGTAATGAACTACTCTAGATTACTACCTGTTTTTCTAACTCAGACACATGCCTAACACTAATATGAATAACACGTAAAACAAAATACCATTTTTGTAATCATCTGTTATAGTTCAACCTTAAAGTTCTCTTTACCTTTATTGTTTGTTTGCTTGTTTGAAATCGCTGATCAGATATCTGCTGTTGATGGAGGAGCTTTTCATTAACTTCTTTATATTCTTTAACAGACAATTCTGCTGTTTTTTTGGCATTCTGAAGTACACTGTTTTGTTGTCGCAAAGATATAATTTGTTCTCGTAATAAAATAATGTTGGTACTTGATTTCTGGGCAGTTACATTTTTGTACTTTTCTCTGTTAACTATTAAAAATAATGTTGTTGATAATACTTTAAAATCGTATTAAATTTTAAAAGATATACTGTTAATTTCACATGTATTCTTACCTCTGGTAGGAACTACTGTATGTGAACTTTTTGGTATTTTACCATTCTTCTTCTGAAATGCTGGTTTTTTTGCATTATTATAATGAAAAATATCCTAAATTTGAAAGTTTCAGAAAAAAATGGGTTATTATTCAATAAATATGTCAAATGAACCAACATAATAAGTACTATGTCTCTTTACTTAAAAATACATATGAGTTCTGGACAATAAAATTCTATAATTCGCATTTCAATTATGGAGTGCATGAATAAAATTATTTATTTTTAATAAATAAGATAAATTAGGAGTAAATTCCTTAACAAAAACCTAATTTTAACAGTAGAATGGATAAACTGTGGTATCTTTGAACAATGAAATACTATCCACAGCAATGAAAATGAACTAACAATGCAAAATACTGAAGGAAAGAAAGACAATTTAGATTTCATAAAGTTGAACAACAGGAAATTAACCTCAACTTTAATAGAATTAAAATTATAAAGAAAAGAAGGGAAGTGATTAAGTATAGTTAATTATTTTAGGGATAGTGAGGGAATCTAATATTTTCTAAATACTTCTAAAATTTAGTCAATTTATTTTCTGACTACCAATAATATGCATAGATCTAATAAAAGTACTTAATACATTCTTACTATATGAATGATGTTATGAGTTATTTTCATTTATAAATTAATTAAGCTGCCCATAATGGCTGCAACTAAAGAAAATCCTCAATCAATTAATACATAGCAAACTGGTAATTTCTATAATCATCAGTCAATCAGCAGGTGTAACAGATTAAATGACCTTATAATTACAAAGGCTAATATAAAAGTAGACATTTCTTTACTTGGTATATATTTCACACAATCTAAAACAATAATGAGTTTATTACTATTTTTTTGGTTGAGATATAAATAAGTTACAAGTTATTTATAGTATTTACTTCCATTTTATGTATACAAGATATTAAAAAACTAGGAAATTGAAAATTATACAAAAGTGATTATATATAGTTATATATAACTATATAAATATTATAAATAGTTATAAAATTGAAAAAAGTAAAATTATACAAAAGTGAATAGTGTACTTCAAAGAAGACAAATTTTTAAGGATTCAAATTTAATCACTGGCAAAACTTATTGATGAAGCATAAGATCAAATTAAGAACAAATTGAATATTAAACAAAATTGTGTCATATACCTTTGGGGTCTTGCCATCTATATTTGAATTTGTTTGTACTAATTCCTTCCCTTGTGTTTGGATGTCTTCTGTTTGATCACTTTCTTTCTGGTCTCTTCCATCTTTAGGACTTATTTTCTGCGATGTTTCCACAATAATTGTTCCCAAATTTTGAGAGGTCTGTGTTTCAGAATCACTGCTTTTTAAAAATGGAGTAATATGGGAAGATAAAACCCCAAAATATCTGTTATATGTGCTTTGCTTCTTTTAAAAACAAATAATATTATAAATAGATTATAGATGAAGCTGTTTCATTTGGGCATTTACTGGTTCTTACTGTTTAACAGGAAAATTGGTTTAAATATGTTTTACAAAATTATAGGATCTCATCAAGAAAATAGATATTTAGCATTCTAACCAATATTAATTCAGGAAACACATCCTTTAGTATTTCCAGATTTAGAGAATGAGCCAAGCAAAAAGGTTTAATTGTTTAACTGGGGGGGTGGGGCAAGATCACTGGGGAATGAACCCAGGAGTGCTTTATCATTGAGTTACATTCCCAGCCCTTTAAAACAAATTTTTTGAGAACCTCACTAAGTTGCTCAGGGTCTTGCTAAATTGCTGAAGGTCGTCTTGAACTTGCTATCCTCTTGCCTAAGCTTTCTGAGTTGCTGGGATTACAGGTGTGTGCCACCATGCCTGGCTGGTTTAGTTTTTCTAACAGAAATTTTTTATTTATCTGTGATAAAATGTTAATCTCTTAGGCTTTCACTTGTCAATTCCAATTTCATTCCTTATGGCTATTCATTATTCAATAAAATACTTGTCAAATACTAACTATGGGCCAGGTACTCTTTTAAGCATATGGGATAAAGCAGTAAGCAAATAAGCAGAAAACAAAAATCTCTTCCTTCATGTAACTTTTATCACAGTAAGGACTGGGGGAAACCAATAAGAGGAATAAATAAAATATTAGTATGCTAACAGTGATATGATAAAGAGGAAAAAATTAATCAAGGGAGATTAGAAGTTTTGACATTGAATGCAACATTTAAGTCTCTTTTACAAATAGATGATCTTTTAACTATTATGATATTGTTACTTGTTGTTTGAGACATCTTAAAGTAAAACATTACTAGTTTCTTCTAATGTTCCTAATTCAAATGCTTTAGAGATGCTTTACCATCCTCATCATTTTTTAATGTGCTCCAGCCTAACCTTATGAAGCATTGTGTCCAGGATTTAATATTCTAAGTACTGTACACTATCAGAGGTACTTACAGAACTTCTGGTAGATGCAAATTCAAACTATGTTTAAGCTTTTCTGACATGTACATTTCAAATAGACTCATACTAGATTTAACAAAATCTTCTAAAATATTTCTACAGAGTTACTTTCAAAATTACGTATTTCTCCATTTAGGTAGTGGAAGAATTGCATTTTCCAAGTAAACTACCCTGGAATGTTTTGTATAATTATATCTTCCTGTCTACTAAGATCTTTGGGGATCTCGATTCTATACTGCAAGGTATTTTCTTCTGCTTTCAATGTCATACTATTAGCAAACTTGATAAACATGCTTTGTTGGATTCAGATATACTGTATTTAGTTTAATCATGTTAAGAAGATACAGGTTAGTCTGCTAAGAATCTGTATTAAGTACCCATGCTGGGACCAAGAAATCACTGATGCTTTCATGAAACATTCACACATTGACCTTTTATTATGTCCTAGCACTTTATGTAGGATTTATTGCCAAAACTACCAAGAATATAATTCTCCTTCTTCCTGTTTTTGAATATTAGAACCATACTTATCTGACTTCCGTACTCTTTAACCATTTGGGTTCCCCTTTTAAAAACTCAACAGAAATTGGTCAACTGTACAAGTTATTTCAATATGCTGAAATTAAGTATGTCTGGATTAGAACAGAAGAATCCATATGCTTAGGCATTCTATTATTATTGTTGATCTCTTTTGTATTATATTCTCTTTTTCTTTTTATCCAAATTTAGCAGAAATTCAAAATATTTAACAATAGACACTTTTAAGAAACTTTAAAAGCTAAATGAAAAGACCCTTGGTGGAGGGTGAGCTGGAGATGTGGGCATAATGCTTCTCTTTCTGTATAAATTTTCACTTATTCATTTTCAAAAAAATATTTACTGAATGACTACAATCTTTCATGCATGTGAAACATACTGATGAACAAATTCTATAATTTGTCACAGAGGAAACAATAAATACAATAAATTTGAAATATCATAGAGCACATTATAAGATAATAAATGTGGCTGGGAAAAAATGAGCAAGTAAGAGGAATAAATCCAGAGTACAGGAGGTAAAAATGTGACAAGGTTGCAATTTGAAATGAATTGGCCACTAGTAACATTGTAGGAAAGACTTAAGAGTAGTTAATTGTGTAGATATTTAGAGAAATGAATTCCACACGGAAGATAAATCAAACTAAAATCACTGATGTGGAAGTTTCTGCTTGCAAAATATAACAAGAAGTATAGTGTGGGTAGAACACACTAAACATGGATTAAAGACAAGGTTGAAAGTGGGGAAACTGGAAACTTTCTGAAGTAAGTCAGGCAGATGATAATGCAGCTATACAAATAATAAGAAGTGGATGGATTCTGGATTTTTAGAAAAGGAATTAATGTGAGGAATGAGAGAAAGACTGGAATCAGGGATGATTCCAAGATTTTGATCAGAGTAACTGTAGGATAGAATTACCATTAGTTAGGAAGAGAGAAATAGCATCTGAAATGGGTTAGGTGTGGTGGAGCTCAGGCATGCAGATTAAGGCTATTAGACACCCAAGTATGATGTTAAGCTGTTAAATTTACAAGTCTAAAATTCAGAAATGAGATCTAATCTAGACACATACATTTTGGGGAAACTAGCATAAAAATGAAAATTAAATATATATATAAGGATAGTATGAATAGAGACTATGAGATCACAAAGGAGTACAGAAAAAAACAAAGAATATATTCAATATATTTCAAGGACTTCAGTCCTTGAAAACAGATGGGAGGCAGGAATGAATGAATGAAACAGTGGTTAAACCTCAAGGAGAAGAACATAAAGAGTATAGTATAGAGAAGAACAAGAGGAAGTAGAAAGTAACTGTGTAAAATGCTCCTGATATGTCAAGTAAGGAAAGGACTGAGAATGGAACTCTGGATTTGCCAATGTGGTGGTGATATTATAAAGAATTATTTTAGTTTGGCTGAGGGTTTATCAATTTTTCTTTCTTTTGGTTAGTTTAGCTAATGGTTTATCAATTTTTTTAATCCTTTCAAAAAAATCAACTCTTTGTTTAGATGATCTTTTGGTTTTTTTTTTATTCTCAATTTCATTGATTTTGACTCTGATCTTAATTAGTTCTTGTTTTCTACTGATTTGTGTTGGTTTGTTCTTCTATAGGGTCTTGAGATGTTTAGATTATTTATTTAGGATCTTTCTATTCTTTTAGTGTATGAACTCAATGATATGAACATTCTTCTTATAACTGCCTTCATATTCTCCCAGATATTTTGATATATTGTATCAATATTCTCATTTACTTCTAAGAATTTTTTTTATTTATCGCCTGATTTCTTCTGCTATCCATTAATCATTCAGAAGTGTATTATTCTATCTCAAGGTATTAGAGTGGTTTCTGTTTTTTAAATTACCATTGATTTCTAACTTCATTTCTAATTTCTAATTTCATTTCATTATTATGATGTGATTAGAAGGCAAGGTATTATCTCTCTCTCTCTCTCTTTTTTTTTTTGTATTTGGTAAGATTTGCTTTGTGACCTAAAATAAGACAAAGATGCCATTTCTACTACTTTTATTCACATAGTACTGGAACCCCTAGCCAGAACAACCAGGCAAGAAAAAGAAAGAAAATTCAAATGAAAAAGAGGAAGTCAATTGTCACTATTTGCAGATGACATGATTTTATACATAGAAAACCCCAAACACTCTACCCAAGAAACTAGGAGAACTAATAAAAAAATTCCAATAAAGTTGCAGGATATAAAATCAATATACAAATATCAGTAGGGTTGTTCCATGCTAGTAGTGAATTACCTGAAATAAAATCAAGAGAGCAATCACATATATAATAGCTACAAATAAAATAAAACACCTAGGCATAAATTTAACTAGAGATGAAAAATCTCTACAATGAAAATTATAAAACACTCATGAAAAAAGTAGAAAAAGACTCACTAAAATGAAAAGACATCCTGTGTTCATGGATTGAAAGAATTACTATTTTTAAATGTCCATACTATCCAAAGCAATCCATAGATTTAATTCAATTTCTATCAAGAAACTAATGATATTCTTAACAAAACTGGGGGGGGGGGGCTAAAATTTATATGAAATATACCACACACACACACACACAGAGATCAGAATAGCTAACGCCCTCTTAAGGATGAAGCAGGAAGCATCAGGGCATTAAAGTGTCTGACTTTAAATCCTTAAATATACTACAAAGCTATATTAATCAAAACATAAACTTATTTTCAACAAAAGTGCTCAGAACATGCTTTTTTTTCAATAAAGGATGCAGGAAAAATTGGCTATCCACATGCAATTATAAAAATTAACACAAAGTGGCTTAGTTATTGAAATATAAGACCTAATCTATGAAACTACTAGAAGAAAACAGGGAAAGTACTTCAGAACATTGTAATGGAAAATGATTTGTGGGGAAGCATACTAAAACACATGAAACAGAAGCAAAAATAGAAAAAAAGAATTATATCAAACTAAAAAGCTTCTGCTGAGCAAAGGAAAAGAACATCAGAGTAATGGGACAATTACAGAATGGGGATAAGAAGGGAGGGAAGGAAAGGAAAACAACTCTTGCAATAGAAAACTAACGGCTACATTAACTCCATGCTATAATTGTACCATGCCAGTACCATGGATAGAATTAAAATCAGCTTGAGAAATAAAATTGTTATGGTCTAAACAGGTTTACTAAGAGATGTTCATAAAACATTCATTTGATGAATCTATTAATATCATTAAAACATAGGACTAAAAAGAACTGTACTGATAATTGTTGGCAGACAATTTTTGCCATGTAAGAAAATATATTTTGTTGAAGGAGTTTAAGCATCTTTGTCCATCACTGGGAATAAGAGAATGAATGAAATGAATGCATGAATAAAAATACA